TTGTTCCAAGGTTGCTCCTTGATGATTGTGTATGCCTCTAGTGTTTACTAGAGAGGAGAACTTGTTGTACCCACTTGGTTCTTGGTGATTAGTGGAAGTTTGGGTGCCGTTGTTGAGCGGCCGTGGTTTTCTCCCCGATTTGGGGTTTCCACGTAAATCGTGTGTTCTTTATTTTATTTCCGTTGCTATCTATTTGTGGTGGTGGTGCTGATTTTTGGAGTATATTGTGCTTTGTTGTTCATCTCATTTAATTTGGGAAAAAAGATTTTATACGCTTCCGTTGTGTTTTGTTCCGTGCTTCCCCAACAAGGACAAACTCCGTGAATTAACGTTGCTGACATCACCATAACTAGGACACTTCCAAAAAGGAAGTGTTTCAGGAAAAATGAAAAAGATGAAATATGAACTGTTTTAAGGAACGAAGGGAGTATTTCTTTAGAAGTGGGCAGCTACGACAAGGGGCTGCTTCCGGTTCCAGTTACCGCCTATGAGCCGGATGCCCGGGTACCAATTTTGCAACCGTCAATTTTAATTTTCGGATCATTTTTTAAGCTTTTTGTATTGTGAAATTGATTTTTTGGTGCAAAAATGGTACATGGCTTACTTACTTAAATGTAATTGTTACTTGTAAAAGAACTTATCTAAATGCCGTAAATACATTGCGAAGTTAAGAAAAATTAAAACTGTTTCAGAACCGGTGGTTCCAAAATCCCTAACTCAGCACCTCTAGTTTTTATAAGGACAGACATACTTAATTTGATCAATTTTTATAATTAACAAGAAAATTTAAATCAAAATATCTAGACCAATCAATATTTCCCATTAGACATGATGTGAGTCAAAAGATTTTAAAGGTATCATTCTTTTAAACCTGACATGAAAATGATGTGGCAAATGTGGATGATTGGTAAAAATGGCAGGTGACCGACACCAATGGGTTGCCAGTGGGGGGGTGGACAATGACGATCAGTGGCTGGCAAGGTGGGTTAACAGTGGTCAGCGATTGGAAGAGATAGAATTCCCCAAATTGATACTCCCTCCGTCCAGAATTAAAATTCTCACTCTACGCTTTTCTCCGTCCAGAAATAAAGTTCTCATTCTACGTTTACATACCCACTTTTTCTAAAATACCCCTTCTTCTCCTCCTTTCTTTCTTTCTCTTTTCTTTTTTTTCTTTCTCCCCTCTTCTCTCGCAGATCTGGCCACCCCCTCCCTTTCTTTTTCTTCTATCTCTCCGCGTTCTTTCTCTCTTCCCCCTCCCCCTTCTATTCTTTCTTCTACCAATTTTCTTCTTCTTCATTTCTTCCTCCTCTCCTTTTCCTTCTTTCTCCCTTTCTTTTCTCGGCAAAATCACGCCATCAACTTCTTTCACTCCCCCCCTCTTTTTCTTCTTTTTCTTCTTTCTCCCCTTTCCTTTCTCGGCCAGATCTGGCCATCGTTTCCTCTCTCCCTTCCCCCCCTTCTTTTTCTTATTCTTCTTCTTCCCGATCAGATCTACGTGCGGTGATTCGATTTCATCTCCTCGTAGATCTACGGTTGAGGGAGGGTTTTGATTTACAATTGCAGGTACGGCGGGGCTGGGGCGACGGTTGGGGCGTTGGTGGGGGGTTGGGCGACGGTTGGGGCGGTGGGGATAGGGGTTGGGGTGGCTGTGGTGTTGAGGGTTGCAGGGGTATTTTGGTGTGGGGGCCGGGGTGGCAGGGGTATTTTGGGCAATACAGCCCATTAGTCAACCCACACTAAAAATGGAGAATAGTCAAATCGGGAACTTCTTTTCCGGACGGATGGAGTATATTTTAAATTCGGAGCATATAAAAAATTCATATTTATGAGAATTGTCAAACCTGAGATATCAAATTTGATCCTTGTTTAAGTTTCACCAAACATCTACAACATAATTTTGACAAAATAAAAAAATACAGTGTCGAGTAGAATTTTTGTCAGCTATGAAGCATAAAGAGGCTCTTTGATGGACATATTTCCAATGTGTGGATTGGTAAGAAACATGTAGGGAACTTTTGACGTAATTTTTAAATATGTAATTTTTAAATTTTATTTCTATACTAATCTTTAAATAAAATGAATTGAACTTCGTTTAGTGTAATATTGTAATCTTTTTGAGACGGAGGGAATAGTAAAGTTCTTGAACTGACTAATTGGATGGGCCAAACGAGTATGGGTCTCCAATTCCATTATTAAGAAACTAAGGTGCTTTTTACCTCCTCTCACAATCCCGTCGGGTCGGGGGTGAGGGGCGCCCGGGGTGAGCGATTTCACCTTTTTGGAGAAGAAACTAAGGTGCTTGTACCTACTGTCCACAGTCCACAATAAAGGTAGCAACGAGCAACCGCATGCAACTTACTCCCTCCGTCCCAGAAAGAATGCCACGTTTATTATTCTGGCCTCTCAATAACTTTTGTTTGTTTACTCGTTTTGGTTGACCATTTGATAAAATAAAATATTCTTGTCGTATCTTGTTTTGTAGAGCTTTTCATATACTTTTGAATGGTGTAATTTTTACTTTTTATTACTCTACTCATTTGAAATTAAAGTGATTTTAAAAAAGATGATATTTTGCATATCGTTCAAAGTGTTGCAAATAAATTGGGACGGAGTATAAGTTATAATAAAAAAATGTTTCAAAATGAATAGTATAATAGCAATTTCATAATGAACACAATAATTTCAAAATGAATATTTTGTAGAATCAAAACGAATATTTTATTGATTCATAATGAATATTTACTAGTTGTACTTAACTCTACGTAAGCCAAGTTTAATATGTGTGTCAAACCGGTCCAAGGATAGACCAAGGTGCCCTATCGGTCAATACTCATTTTTTAAGGTTCAACATCGTGGCAAGCCTAAAAAGTAATGTTAATGATACACAAAAAATATATTCTATTTGTACATCGTCGCTTTTAGACTATGAATCTTTTTAGTTGGAATTTCAGAGTTAAATATTAGACAACTAAAATGAGTTAGAAAAAAACTTTCAAGAAGCTAAAAAATGTTGGAAGAATTTAAATATTAAAAAGTCACTAACGGAAATAATCATTCAAATAAATATAAAAAAAATTCTAATTTTGGATAAAAAAGAATTTATCATTGCCCGTATTTAAGGTGATATATATTATAATTTTAGATATATAATGTTATTTTAATCATATATAAAACCTCCAATTTGGGTAACTAGTCCAATTTAAGGAACTCTGGTTATTGAATACTCCCTCCGTCCGAGAGTATTTGTCCACTTTCATTTTTGCACACCATCCAATGCACTTCTTTAATTCATTTTATCTTATAATTTGTATATTAAAAAATTATAGAAATTATATATTACGGAGTAATAATCTATATGTTAAGACAAATCAAACAAGATCACACATGACTATATTTAGGCTTACACATTGAGAGAATTTGATGAGTCAAAGTGTTTAGATGAACAGTTTCAAAAGTCAAAAGTGGACAAAGAGAGTGGGACGGAAGGAGTAGAATAGTGGGTGGTATATCCACTTTCTACTCTTCCTAGTATTCTTATCCAATTTCTACTCTTCATTCTGCTCATCAACATCAAAGACTCAAAGAAAGAGTGTGTTGAGAAGAGTTGTGGTATACCATCTCAATTTCATCTCTTCTTCCTCCCCCCAGAATCTTAGCTATGGAGAAGTCTGGGTATTGTCGCGACGGAATATACCGATCTCTCCGGCCGCCGTTAATCCTCCCCAAGGACCCTGACCTCTCCATGGTCTCTTTCCTATTCCGGAACATCTCTCGGTACCCTGACCAACCGGCAATCCAAGACGCCGATTCCGGCGAGACTCTGACTTTCGCGCAGTTCAAATCCGAGGTCTCCAGAGTCGCTCATGGCTTGGTGCACCGACTGGGCATCAGGAAAAACGACGTCGTCCTTATCTTCTCCCCCAACTCCATCCAGTTCCCCCTTTGCTTCCTCGGAAGCATCGCCGCCGGCGCGATTGCTTCGACGGTTAATCCCACCTATACAGTTCCAGAGCTGTCCAAGCAAATCAAGGATTGTAGCCCGAAGCTCATCGTCACCGTTCCCCAACTGCTCGACAAAATCAAAGGGTTTAATTTACCCGTTTTGCTTCTGGGTCCTGAAAACCCTAACCGTTCCGGCCTCAATTCCTCTCCGGGCCTCACATTTTTCGCGGACTTAGTGAGAGATTCTCGTCAATTGGACTTGGACAGTGTTTCTATTAAGCAGAGAGACACGGCTGCGCTTCTGTACTCTTCTGGGACTACAGGAGTCAGTAAGGGAGTAGTCTTGACTCATGGTAATTTCGTGGCATTGTCTCAGATGGTGAATGCCGATCAAGATGCTGCCGGTGAAATGCATAATGTGTTCTTGTGCATGTTGCCCATGTTCCATGTGTTCGGGCTTTCCGTCATCTTGTACTCCCAGTTGGTGAGGGGGAACACTGTGGTTTCCATGGGAAAATTTGACCTGGAGATGGTTTTGAAGAATGTGGACAAGTACAGAGTGACACATATGTGGGTTGTGCCTCCGATCATACTGGCTTTTGCTAAGAGCAGTGTGGTCAAGAAGTATTCTTTGACATCGTTGAAGCATATTGGGAGTGGTGCAGCTCCCCTTGGGAAAGATTTGATGGAGGAATGTGCCAAGAATTTCCCTCAGGCTGCTCTAGTTCAGGTCTTTTTTCGGCTTAAGGAAATCTGTAATGCATTCTTCAGATTTTATTACAATTGAATGAGTAACAATTAACAACAACCGAGTAGAAATCCCACGAAAGTAGACCTTACCCCTACTCGAAAGTAGAGAGGTTGTTTCCAAGAGATCCTTGGCTCAAGCAACACAGATTGCACACAAAGCACGAACACAGTACACAAAGAGCAAATTAAGTAACAGAAAAGCACCAATAGACAAGAAGTAGCTAGCAAAGAAACCACATGCTACAAGTGCAACAACTAAGGCCTAAGACCCGACTGACTAACCAACCCACAACCGTAATCCTAGATTTTCAGATGCTCCTATCTAAACTCATATCCTCGGTAAGGGCTAGAGAACAATTAACATGATATGTAATCATATACGATTACACTCTGAACTCCAAAGCCAACCCTCCATCCAAACTGACCCTTAGGATGAAGTGTTTTGGATGGCTAAGTCTATGTCTTTATGTATGTTTGAGATATTATAATTGCATGAATAACATTATTTGTGATCATGTAATATCACTCCTCCGGAGCTGTCCGTCACGATATAAAGTGTCGATTTGCAGGGGTATGGGATGACAGAGACTTGTGGAGTGATCTCAAAGGAGAATCCGAGTATTGGTATGAGACACTCAGGGTCAGCGGGAATGCTTGTTCCTGGACTGGAAGCTCGAATAGTTAGTGTTAGTAATCCGCAGAATCTCCCTCCCTGTCAGTTGGGGGAAATTTGGGTACGGGGTCCTAACGTGATGAAAGGTACTTTCCTTGTATTGTATTTATTACTCTGTATCAGTCTATATTCTCTTGCTATGATCGTACATGTAGAATAGATAATGATATGCCATTATGCTTACCGTAACCATATTTTCTTACACTAACCATGTCATTCTGTATTTCTTTTTTAGGCTATTACAAGAATCCTGAGGCTACCAAGGCAACAATAGATAAACAGGGATGGCTCCACACTGGAGATCTTGGATATTTTGATGTAGAAGGACAACTATATGTTGTTGACCGTATCAAGGAGCTCATTAAGTACAAAGGTTTTCAGGTATGGTTAAAAAAATTATGTTAAACTACTAGTTGTATATTATGGTTGCTTGTGGAACTGAGGTTTGTTTAGATCCTTGTTTTGTCCATTGATTTTCAAATGAGTTATATGATTTTATGATGTTGTTAGCATTGGTGTGCAAATTCATCTTGTTTTGATAGTAACAAATAATATAAAACCAACTTTTGTTCGAGGCACGTACTACCCAAATCCACAATTGTTATGGTTCTCAAGAAAGCTGTTGGAAAGACCGAACTAGTCATAGACTATTAATTATGTTAAAGATTAGTGTTTGATATACTCTATGGGTACAAGTTCAATGGTAAATGGATTATGGACTACACAAAAATGATTTTCAAAACAAGTGCATTTAGGTCGGTTGGAAATATTTCTGCTCTACACTTAGTGACATAGGGGTTAAGAACTGCATGCACCTACCCTCCCCCTACCTTAATCCATGGGATTTTACTGGGTTTCTTTGTGTTTGTTTTTGTTGTTGTTGTTTGAATATGTTTGTGCATTTTTCAGGTGAATTAAACAGTTTTTAAAACTGTGTTTGTACTAACTGTTGTACATATTTTGAACCAATGGTGCGTTACTCATCCATGACCTCGACCGGTAAAAGTATCCATTAGATGACTCGGACCACTTTCAATTCTCATGGTCAAATGGTCCTGTTGATGACCATCTGATCTACCTTCAACTGGAACAGTGCAGCTGCTCCTTCATGAGTTTGACCGTCAATTCAGTTTTTGACCCACGCGTGTCATTTTTTGGGCAATTTTTTCTAACAGCCTCTTTGACAAGTCTGAGCATTAGCAACAGCTAAAAGCGTGTTTTACTCATTCCTTAACATTTCTAAACTCTATATAAACTTCTCCTAATGCACATATAAAACTAATCTAGCTCACCCTTTGTTTATACTATAATCAAAAGTGCTCATCTGTATTCTTTCATCTTTATGAATTAAAATCAGTCTATTTATAGCCCAATACCTTTTATATGCACACATTCAACTTTTGCAGGAGACACACACATACAATTTGTAGCATGATATTGATCTTCATAATCTTTGTAACATTTACGGATAGATATATAAATCCTTAGTATAAATGGTTGAGAATGGCTGAAAGAAATATTTGTTGTTTTATCAAAATATCTCATAAATACTTGCGTGAATAGCTAAGGATAGCTAAACAAATCCTCGGGGAAGGGAGTCAAATATAGCCTCTAAATCATTGTAAGCAGTTTAGTGTAGCCAGGTGCAAACTGTCTTTCAGATGCAATAGGCATTTGAGTTATCAATATCTTTACATTGCTGGTTGGACTTTTCTGTAGCTATCAAAAGTAGTTTTTAGCATTTTTGAGTTCATTGGAAGTTTTACTGTACACATCAAATACTCTCACAATTCACCAGGTTGCACCAGCAGAGCTTGAAGGGTTGCTGGTTTCTCATCCAGACATACTGGATGCTGTAGTCATCCCGTAAGTTGCATCTTTAACAAGTGTTTTTTTAATTATATCCACTCAAAACATGGGACTTGGTTGATTTTATTCCAAACACTTGTCACAAAAAAAATATTAAATTTACCTCGATGAAAAAACCCCAAGTGAAATGAATGTCAAAATTCTAATCCCCAGCTCCCTCTTGTTCTTGTTGACTAACTAGCAATTAACCATGGAAGTAGGGAAGATTCATTTGTTTAATAGAATAGATGTTAGCTTTACTCTTAAAGATAGACATGTTAGACACTACTACCTCTGTCCTTGAGTATTTGTTCAGTTTGACTTTTTCAGTGACTTTTTCCAGTAAAATTGGATGTACTTCGATCATCAATTAAATAAAAATTGTATTGCATAGCAATACAAAAGCTATTCCATTTGATTTATCTTGCAAAAAGCTTTATAAAAATTATTTTATTGTGTTAAAAAGCTTTCAGAACAATATTTTATTGTAAAAATATGCAATGCAATTTTTATTTGATTGAGAATCAAAGTTTGTTCAATTTGGCCCCCAAAAAAATCAAATTGAACGAATAATTTGGGATGGAGGGAGTATTACAAATGAAGTTATAATTAATCACATTCAAAACTCATTAGGAGCCATAGAATGTAATACTCCATCCGTCTTAAAAAGAATCTTGTTTCTAATACTGACTACAGTATTACCAACAAGACTCTTTTAAAAAGACGGATGCAATGTACTTTATTTGATAGTGTGCCCCCTATAAACTTTTTTGCTGGATTCAACACTGATAGATATCCAGATACTGAAGCTGGTGAGGTCCCAGTTGCATACGTTGTTCGCTCTCCGAATAGCTCTCTGACTGAAGAAGATGTCAAGAAGTTCATTGCAGATCAGGTATTCTTATGATTATAATTGAGCCACTATGAGTTTATTACAAAAAGAGTCTTTTAAAACATACTCCCATCGTCCAAAGAAGATAAGGCCAGTTTGTCTGGCACACTCTTTACTTTTGAATATGGTGAACATCGTGTTTTTGAAATTTATGCGGATGGAGAAAAAACTGTGAGCCACATAAAACTTTTCAAAGTCTTATTACTTACTCCATCCCTAAATAAACATCACTTTTATAATTCACAAGGCTTCTTTTTTTAGTTATTTGATTTAACTCCAGTCAAACATCATAAATCAAAATGTGAAAAGCCTGTGGCGTAATCTTTAGTATTAGAGCACTAGACAGAAGTATATACATGATTTGTCTGAAGATGAATTGGAGTGCGTAAAAAGCCGTGTTTTGTGCAGTAATCACAATGGCCATTCTTTGTGCAGGTTGCGCCGTTTAAGAGACTGCGACAGGTAACATTTATAAACAGTGTCCCAAAATCAGCCTCTGGGAAAATTCTGAGGCGGGAACTGATTGAAAAAGTTCGATCAAAACTATAATCGCACCTGAAGATTGTCTTATCAGGCGGAGAAGTCTGCATTTGTAGCTGCAAAATTGGAGGCTAGTGTTTTCAGGGCAATGAATATGCCACTCTTCCTGGTACAACCAATTTGCTACTTGTAACTCTAAACAATAAAGATGCCACTGTCTCCACTGCCTTCATTCATCTCTGTAAGTTCTTTCTATTTATCATTAGTGGAACAAATTATTTTTCTTTTTTCTTTTTTTTTTTTTGGGGTGGGGTGTGTGGTGACTCGAAAATCTGAGGTTTCCATAACGCCCTGTCCATTATATTTATGATGCACAAAAACAGCCAAAAATGTATTTTTTTTATTAAGTTCCACCATAATTTGTATATCAGCTACTGATGTAATGTAATAGATAAGCCTTTTGCGTAGGGATAGCAAACACAATTTTATTATTGCCCCTAAAGATGGTATGGAGTAGCTATTTTGCATTCAAGCAGCCCTCTGATTTTTTTCAACAAGAGTGTAGAGCAGCGGTCGGTTTCGGTTAAAATTTGAAAAAACTGAATTTTTAAGAAAAAATTAAAGACCGACCATTATATTTAAACTTATCGAGCTGAGACCGCAAACCATAAACAAAAAAATGGCTGAAAAACTAAAATTTCCCTACATATAAACTTAACAAATTAATTTAGGAGTTCTCGCTGTATTAATGTGCCACTGCATATAAATATTTCATAATACTCCCTCCGTCCCATATAAAACTTCCCATTTGGAATAGTACCCCAAAATAAGGAGGGGCTTTTTTGGCTTTGAGTTGCCCAAAATACCCCCTCCCACACGCCCTAAATGAAAAAGTAGAAAAGTGGAAGGAAAGTGGGTGTACTTTTTTATAAATTATTTATTTAATTTTTAAATATATTTAA